GGTAAAAATTGGGGATTTTGGGCAAAAAAAAATTGGGGGTTTTAAGTGAAAAAGTGAAGTTTTTAGTTGAAAAAATGAAGATTTTATGGCAAAAAATCTGAATTTTCGGTGAAAGAATCGTGATTTTTGGAGGGGAATATGAGAGGTTTTTGAGGGAAATAAGTTTTGGGGTAAAAAAAGGGGATTTTGGGAAAACATGGGGATTTTGGGTGAAAAAACGAGGATTTTAGAGAGAAAAATGAGGATTTTAAGTGAAAAAATGAGGATTTTTGGTGGAAAAAATGAGGGTTTTTTTAGACAAAAGTATTGGGGGGGTTGGGGAAATTTTTGGTGAAAAAATGGGAAATTTGGGCAAAAAATTAGGATTTTGGGAGAAAAAGATTTTGGGGGAAAATTAGGATTTTACGGGGGAAAATCTGATTTTTAGTGTGAAAAATGGAATTTTTAGAGGAAAAAATGGGGATTTTAGGGGGAAATACAATTTGGGGTAAAAAATGGGGATTTTGGGCAAAAAAATTTGGGGATTTTAGCAAAAAAAATGGAGTTTTTTGGTGAAAAAATGGAGTTTTTAGGGCAAAAAATGTGAATTTTAGGTGAAAAAAATCGGATTTTTGGAGTGGTAAATGAGTTTTTTTTAGGGGTAAATTGGGATTTTGCAAAGGGAAATAAATTTTGGGTTAGAAAATTGGGATTTTGGGAAAAAATTTGGGATTTTGGGGTAAAAATGGAGGGTTTTTTGTGGAGAAAATTGGGATTTTCCAGCAGGAAAATCAAATTTTTAGAGGAAAAAATGGAGCTTTTAGGAGCAAAAAAGTTTAGAGGTTAAAAATGGGGATTTTGGGTGAAAAACTTGGGATTTTTGGTTAAAAAATGAGCATTTTGGGGAAAAAAAATGGAAATTTGGGGTAAAAAAAATTGGGAATTTTGGAGGGAAAAACTTAAATTTTGGACAAAAATTTTTGGCAAAAATGGGAATTTTGGGGGGAAAATTTTGGGAGGAAAAACTGGGAATTTTTGAGGAAAAAAATTGGGAATTTTGGAAAAAAGAATGCGAATTTTAGAGGAAAAAATTCGGAAATTTTGGGGCAAAAATGGCAAAGTTTGGGTTAAAAAATTTGGGGAAAACTGGGAATTTTGGGGGGGAAAATTTGAATTTTTGAGGTTAAAAATCGAAAATTTTGGGCAAAATTTGAGAATTTTTATGCATTCAAAAGGAATTTGCATGAATAAGGGGTGGGGTGTTGATATGCAAATGAGGGGCGTGGCTAATTTGAATTTTCTCCGCGCAGCTTGGGGCGGAGACGGGCGTGTCGGCGCCGGGGGCGGGGCCTGTCCGTCAAATCCTGAGGCTCCTCCCCCTTTTCTTCCTGCCTTTCATCGTGCACTTCCCCACAGTGAGTAGGGGGCGGGGCTTAAAAGGGGCGGGGCCAGTTAAAAGGGGTGGAGCTTAAAGGGGGCGGGGCCAGTTCTTAAAGGGACATTTTCAATAAAATTTTGTCATTTTTCAAAAGTTTTTCCAATTTTTCCTTAAAACTTGGAATTTTTTTTGAAAAAATGTGGAAATTCAGAAAAAAAAATTGGGGCTTAAAAGGGGCGGGGCCAGTTAAAAGGGGTGGGGCTTAAAGGGGCAGGGCCAGTTAAAAGGGGTGGGGCTTAAAAGGGGGCGTGGCCAGTTCTTAAAGGGACATTTTCAATAAAATTTTGTGGTTTTTCCCAAATTCTTCCAATTTTTCCTTAAAATTTGGAAATTTTTTTGAAAAAATACGGAAATTCCAAAAAAAAAAATTGTGAGTTTTTGTAAAAATCCCAAAATTTTTACAAAAATTTGGGAATATTTTCTAAAAATTGAGGGATTTTCAACTAAAAATTTGGAATTTTTTTTGCCTTAATAAAAAAGGGAATTTGAAGAAAAATTGGGAATTTTGCCAAAGAAAATTTGATTTGAGAATTTTTATGCATTCAAAAGGAATTTGCATGAATAAGGGGTGGGGTGTTGATATGCAAATGAGGGGCGTGGCTAATTTGAATTTTCTCCGCGCAGCTTGGGGCGGAGACGGGCGTGTCGGCGCCGGGGGCGGGGCCTGTCCGTCAAATCCTGAGGCTCCTCCCCCTTTTCTTCCTGCCTTTCATCGTGCACTTCCCCACAGTGAGTAGGGGGCGGGGCTTAAAAGGGGCGGGGCCAGTTAAAAGGGGTGGGGCTTAAAGGGGCAGGGCCAGTTAAAAGGGGTGGGGCTTAAAAGGGGGCGTGGCCAGTTCTTAAAGGGACATTTTCAATAAAATTTTGTCATTTTTCAAAAGTTTTTCCAATTTTTCCTTAAAACTTGGAATTTTTTTTGAAAAAATCGGAAATTCCAAAAAAAAAAATTGTGAGTTTTTGTAAAAATCCCAAAATTTTTACAAAAATTTGGGAATATTTTCTGAAAATTGTGGGATTTTCCACTAAAAATTTGGATTTTTTTTTTGCCTAAAAAAAAGGGAATTTGAAGAAAAATTGGGAATTTTGCCAAAGAAAATTTGGATTTTTTTTGGAAAGAATCTAGGAATTTGAAAAAATGAATATTTATCCAAAATTTGGAAATTTTTCAAACGATTTTGGATTTTTTTTCTCAAAATTTGGGAATTTTCCTGAAAAAAAGCTGGGAATTTTTTCTAAAAATCAGGGAATCTGACAAAAAAAAAAAATTGGGAAATTTTATCAACAATAGACAAGTTTCGAAAGAAATTTGGGATTTTAATTTCGAAGATCGGGGAATTTACTAAAAAAGTTTTGAATTCTCTTGAAAAATAATCTGGAACTTTAAAAAATTTGGGGATTTTATTCAAAATTTGGAAATGGATTTTTTTTCTCAAAATTTGGGAATTTTCCTGAAAAAAAGCTGGGAATTTTTTCTAAAAATCAGGGAATCTGACAAAAAAAAAATTGGGAAATTTTTTTAAAAATACACACGTTTCTAAAGAAATTTGGGATTTTAATTTCAAAGTTTGGGGAATTTCCTAAAAAAGTTTTGAATTTTTTTGAAAAAAAAATCTGGAACCTCAAAAAATTAGGGAATTTTATTCATAATTTGGAAATTTTTCAACAAAATTTGGAATTTTTTTGGGGCAAAACAAGGAAATTCTTAAAAAAAATTTGGGAGATTTTACCAAAAATCTCTGGATCTTTTAAAAAAATTCTGAATTTTTTACCAAAATTTGGGAATTTTGTTCCAAAAAATCAGTTGGTTTTTTTTTTAATTGGGATTTTTATTCAAAATTTTAAAATAATTTTGTAGGATTTTGTAATTTTCCCAAAAAATCAGAAAATTTGCCCTGAGATTTGGAAATTTCCAAAAAAAATCCGAAAATTTTGTTAAAAAATTCAAATTTTTTTTTTTTTTGCCACTTCCTGGTTGCTCTCGTGGCCCCGCCCCCTTTGGCCGCGTGCTTTCCTCTGATTGGTCGCTTTTTCCAGGCGGTCTTCACCTATTGGCTGACGTCCAACAGCTTCAGCCTATTGCAGACGGGGCTGCTGCGAGTCCCCGCCCTCCGCTCCAAATTGGGCGTGGCCCCGCCCCCTGCCCCGCCCAAGGCCACGCCCACCGGCCCCGCCCCCCAGAGCAAGGGCGGGATCCTGACGCAGCTGAAGAAAGGTGAAAAATGGGGAAAAAATGGGGATTTTGGGAAATTTTGGGGGAATTTTGGGAAATTTTTAATAATTTGGGAATTTTAGGGATTTTTGGGGAAAATTTTGAGGGGATTTTGGGGAATTTTGTTCAATTTTGGGGGATTTTTGGGGAAATATTTGGGATTTTTGGGCGTAATTTTGGGAGATTTTTGGGCAAATATTTTGGATTTTTGGGTTTTTTTTGGAGGTAATTTGGGAAAATTCTGGGAATTTTCACAGGATTTGTAAATTTTGGGGGAATTTTGGAGAAATGTGGAATGGGGATTTTGGGAAATTTTGGGGGAATTTTGGGAAATTTTTAATAATTTGGGAATTTTAGGGATTTTTGGGGAAAATTTTGAGGGGATTTTGGGGAATTTTGTTCAATTTTGGGGGATTTTTGGGGAAATATTTGGGATTTTTGGGGGTAATTGTGGGGGATTTTTGGGGTTTTTTTGGAGGTAATTTGGGAAAATTCTGAGAATTTTCACAGGATTTGTAAATTTTGGGGGAATTTTGGAGAAATGTGGGATTTTGGGGATTTTTTGGGGAGATTTTGTAGAGTTTTTTTTGGTTTTTGGGGATGTTTTTGGGGAATTTTGTTGGATTTTTTGGGGACATTTTGGAAAATTTGAGGGCATTTTGGGGAATTTTGTTAAATTTTGGGGCATTTTCGGGCAAATATTTTGGATTTTTGGGGAATTTTTGGGGGTAATTTCGGAAAATTTGGGGAATTTTCAGAGGAGTTGTATTGAGGGGATTTTGGGGAATTTTGTTCAATTTTGGGGGATTTTTGGGGAAATATTTGGGATTTTTGGGCGTAATTTTGGGAGATTTTTGGGCAAATATTTTGGATTTTTGGGTTTTTTTTGGAGGTAATTTGGGAAAATTCTGGGAATTTTCACAGGATTTGTAAATTTTGGGGGAATTTTGGAGAAATTTGGGATTTTGAGGATTTTTTGGAGAATTTTGTCGGATTTTTTGGGGACATTTTGGAAAATTTGAGGGCATTTTGGGGCATTTTCGGGCAAATATTTTGGATTTTTGGGGAATTTTTGGGGGTAATTTCGGAAAATTTGGGGAATTTTCAGAGGAGTTGTAAATTTTGGGGGAATTTTGCAGCATTTTAGGGATTTTTGGGGATTTTTTGGGGGAGATTTTGTGGAATTTTTTATGTTTTTAAGGATTTTGTTAGGAATTTTTGTCCTTTTTTTGGGAATTTTTGGAAAATTTGAGGGTATTTTGTTAAATTTTGGGGCATTTTCGGGCAAATATTTTGGATTTTTGGGGAATTTTTGCGGTTAATTTGGGAAAATTTGGACAATTTTTAGAGGATTTGCAAATTTTGGGGGAATTTTGGAGAATTTTGGGATTTTCGGAATATTTTTGGGGATATTTTGTGGCAGGTTTTTTGGTTTTAGGGATAATTTTTGGGGGGAAATTTTGGAAAGTTTGAGGGGATTTTGGGAAAGTTTGGGGATATTTTGGTGGAAATTTTGTGGATTTTTTTTATTTTTAGGGATTTTTTTGGGAATTTCTTTACATTTTTGGGGAATTTTTGGAAAATTTGGGGGAATTTATATGAATTTTGGAATTGTGGGAATTTTTGTGGTTTTTTGGGAGGATTTTGGCGGAATTTTTTTACTTTTTTTTGGGAATTTTTGGGAGTGTTTTATGAAATTTGAGGCGATTTTTGGGAATTTTGGGGATTTGGGTACTTGGGGAATTCTGGAATTTTGGGGTTGGATTTGGGTGAAAATTCTGGGATTTTGGGGGGAAAACTCTGGGATTTTTGGGGAAATTTTGGGAATTTTGAGGGGATTTCAGGGGAAATTCTGGATTTTGGGGGGATTTAGAGAAAATTCTGGAATTTTGGGGAGAAAATCTGGAATTTTGGGGACTGAATTGGGCAAAAATTGTGGGATTTTGGGAGAAAAACCTGGGATTTTGTGGGAAAATTCTGGAATTTTGGGGGGAAAACTTGGGATTTTGGTGAAAGAATTCTGGAATTTTGGGACTGAATTGGGCGAAAATTCTGCAATTTCGAGGAGGATTTTGGGGAAATTCTGGATTTTGGGGGGATTTAGAGAAAATTCTGGAATTTTGGGGGGAAATTCTGGAATATTGGGGGGAAAACTTGGGATTTTGGGGGAGAATTCTGGAATTTTGGGGTGAAATTCTGGAATTTTGGGGTGAAATTCTGGAATTTTGGGGGGAAAACTTGGGATTTTGGGAAAGAATTATGGAATTTTGGGACTGAATTGGGCAAAAATTCTGGGATTTCGAGGAGGATTTTGGGGAAATTCTGGATTTTGGGGGGATTTAGAGAAAATTCTGGAATTTTGGGGGGAAATTCTGGAATATTGGGGGGAAAACTTGGGATTTTGGGGGAGAATTCTGGAATTTTGGGACTGAACTGGGCAAAAATTCTGGGATTTTGTGGGAAAATCTTGGAATGTCAGGGAGATTTCGGGAAAATTTTGGAATTTTGGGGGCAAAACCCTGCAATTTTGGGTGGATTTTGGGTAAATTTTGGGGCGTTTTGTTCTGTTTTCCTTCCCTTTCCCATCATTCCAGTATGATGTAACTTCCCTCCCCCCGCCCCAATTTTTGGGGTCCCGAACCCCATTTTTGGGGGTCCCCAGCCCCATTTTGGGGACGCCCCGAGTGATTTTGGGGCTCCCCCTCCCCGAATTTGCAGAGTGGCGCGAGGCCCAGGCCACGCACGAGGCCGAGCAGCGGCAGTGGCGCCTCAGGAACCACCTGCAGCTGGCAGCCAAAGGTGACCAAAACCCCCCAAAACCCCCCAAAAAAACCCCGGAGACCCCTCCCCAAATTCCAATTATTTCCATTTTCCAGGTCCTCTCCGCCAAACTTTCGCCCAAAACCCCCTGAGCCCCCCCAAAACGGCGCCCACAGAGCCCCAAAAGAGGCCCTGGAAGGACACGCTGGGCTGAGGGGGGGAGGGGGCGACCCGGAAAATAAAAAAACGCGCGAACGGAGACCCCAGACTCATTTATTTTGGGGGAAAATCGGGTGGGTTTGGGGTATTTTGGGCGGTTGGGGATGCCGTAGTAAAATGGCGGCGCCGTGTGAGGAGAGGAGCGTTCCGCAAAATGGCGGCACGCTGGTGGTTTTGCCGTACAAAATGGCGGTCGCGCATGCCCAGAGCGGGCGCGTGTTGCAATTCAAAATGGCGTACGCGTTGTTTGCCGTACAACATGGCGGATTTATGAAGTTTGCCGTACAGTATAGCGGGGGCGCATGCGCATAGGTAGAAACAGCGCTTAATGGCGCTCGCGCAATAAAGGGATGAACGGGTGTTTTGCCGTACAAAATGGCGGCTCGCTACGGTTTTACAGCCAGACAATGACGACCGCGCATGCGCTAAAGAAAGGAAACAATTTGCCGTACAAGATGGCGGCCGCGCATGCGCAGAAATGCGAGACGGCGTTTTCCTGTACAAAATGGCGGCGAAAGTAGCGATTAAAAAGGATAAAAACATTAAAAATTAGATTAAAAACTCCCAAAATCACAGGATTTTTTTACCAAAATTCCCTAAAATTGCATTAAAAGGGGGTGGATAGAAGAGGTTTTGTAGGTTCCGTGAAGAGGGACATTAAAATATCCCCAAAAATCATTAATTTTTAAAAATGAAGTCTTTAAAAGAATCAAAAGTATTTTTTAAAGCCCTAAAAAAGCGTCAGGAATAGTTTAAAGAGTCAGAAACTCTACCAAAAAATCCTTAAAAAGAATCAAACTCCAGGAAATTCCCTAAAAATAATCAAACCCTGGAAAAGTCTCAAACTCTACAAAAAAAAAAAAAACCGTGAAAAGCCTCAAATCAAAACGAAACCCTAAAAAAGTCCCCAAATCTATAAAATACCTCTCAAAAACTCCAAAATTAAAAACAAAGTCATAAAAAGACTAAAACTCCGCAAAAAAGCCCCGAAAAAGCCTCAAAATCCCACAAAAAAAAAAAAAAAACTAAAAAAGCCCCAGCAAAAAATAAAAGTAAAAAGCATGAAAAGCAAGAAAAAACCCCAAAATACCACACAAAATAAAAATAAAACTCTAAAAGCGCCTCAAGTTCCAAAAAAATCCCTTAAAAGAATTAAATTACACCAAAAAGAACCCGAGAAAATCCCAAAATAAAAAATAAAAAGTGCAAAAGCCGCGAAAAAAATTCTTTAAATCCCCTCAGCCTCAAAATGGCGGCGCTTCCGCTTCCGTCCGTACAAGATGGCGGCGCTCTTATCCCCTCAGAGCGGCCATTACAAAATGGCCGTTCATTTGACGGTCGTTCCGTACAACATGGCGGCAACGGAAAAGCTATGCCCGTGCGTGCTGACGTCACTTCCTGCGGCGTGCAAGATGGCGGCGCGCAAGGCTCTCCGGCTCGGTGCGTCCCGGGAAGGCCCCCGGAGGGCTCCTGAGGGGTGGGGGAGGGGCGG